TCAAGTGATGGAGTGATGGTCAGGTCGAGTGATGGAGTGATGGTCAGGTCGAGTGATGGCGTGGTGGTCAGATCAAGTGATGGAGTGATGGTCAGGTCGAGTGATGGAGTGATGGTCAGGTCAAGTGATGGAGTGATGGTCAGGTCGAGTGATGGCATGGTGGTCAGGTCGAGTGATGGAGTGGTTGTCAGATCGAGTGATGGAGTGAGGTCAGGTCGAGTGATGGAGTGAGGTCAGGTCGAGTGATGGAGTGATGGTCAGTTCGAGTGATGGTCAGATCGAGTGATGGAGTGATGGTCAGGTCGAGTGATGGAGTGATGGTCAGGTCGAGTGATGGAGTGGTGGTCAGGTCGAGTGATGGAGTGGTTGTCAGATCGAGTGATGGCGTGGTGGTCAGGTCGAGTGATGGAGTGGTTGTCAGATCGAGTGATGGAGTGAGGTCAGGTCGAGTGATGGAGTGAGGTCAGGTCGAGTGATGGAGTGATGGTCAGTTCGAGTGATGGTCAGATCGAGTGATGGAGTGATGGTCAGGTCGAGTGATGGAGTGATGGTCAGGTCGAGTGATGGAGTGGTGGTCAGGTCGAGTGATGGAGTGATGGTCAGATCGAGTGATGGAGTGATGGTCAGGTCCAGTGATGGAGTGATGGTCAGATCGAGTGATGGAGTCATGGTCAGATCGAGTGATGGAGTGATGGTCAGGTCGAGTGATGGAGTCATGGTCAGATCGAGTGATGGAGTGATGGTCATATTGAGTGATGGAGTGATGGTCAGATCCAGTGATGGAGTGATGGTCAGGTCGAGTGATGGTGTGGTGGTCAGATCGAGTGATGGAGTGATGGTCAGGTCGAGTGATGGAGTGATGGTCAGGTCGAGTGATGGCGTGATGGTCAGGTCGAGTGATGGAGTGATGGTCAGGTCGAGTGATGGAGTCATGGTCAGATCGAGTGATGGAGTGATGGTCAGGTCGAGTGATGGAGTCATGGTCAGATCGAGTGATGGAGTGATGGTCATATTGAGTGATGGAGTGATGGTCAGATCCAGTGATGGAGTGATGGTCAGGTCGAGTGATGGCATGGTGGTCAGATCGAGTGATGGAGTGATGGTCAGGTCGAGTGATGGAGTGATGGTCAGGTCGAGTGATGGCGTGGTGGTCATATTGAGTGATGGAGTGATGGTCAGATCCAGTGATGGAGTGATGGTCAGACTGAGTGATGGTGTGGTGGTCAGATCGAGTGATGGAGTGATGGTCAGGTCGAGTGATGGAGTGATGGTCAGGTCGAGTGATGGAGTGATGGTCAGGTCGAGTGATGGCGTGGTGGTCATATTGAGTGATGGAGTGATGGTCAGATCCAGTGATGGAGTGATGGTCAGACTGAGTGATGGCATGGTGGTCAGATCGAGTGATGGAGTGATGGTCAGGTCGAGTGATGGAGTGATGGTCAGATGGAGTGATGGAGTGATGGTCAGGTCCAGTGATGGAGTGATGGTCAGGTCGAGTGATGGAGTCATGGTCAGATCGAGTGATGGAGTGATGGTCAGGTCGAGTGATGGAGTGATGGTCATATTGAGTGATGGAGTGATGGTCAGATCCAGTGATGGAGTCATGGTCAGATCGAGTGATGGCGTGGTGGTCAGATCAAGTGATGGAGTGATGGTCAGGTCGAGTGATGGAGTGATGGTCAGGTCAAGTGATGGCATGGTGGTCATATTGAGTGATGGAGTGATGGTCAGATCCAGTGATGGAGTGATGGTCAGACTGAGTGATGGCGTGGTGGTCAGATCGAGTGATGGAGTGATGGTCAGGTCGAGTGATGGAGTGATGGTCAGGTCGAGTGATGGAGTGATGGTCAGATCGAGTGATGGCGTGGTGGTCAGATCGAGTGATGGAGTGATGGTCAGGTCGAGTGATGGAGTGGTGGTCAGGTCGAGTGATGGAGTGATGGTCAGGTCGAGTGATGGAGTGATGGTCAGATCGAGTGATGGAGTGATGGTCAGGTCGAGTGATGGCGTGGTGGTCAGATCGAGTGATGGAGTGATGGTCAGGTCGAGTGATGGAGTGATGGTCAGGTCGAGTGATGGAGTGGTGGTCATATTGAGTGATGGAGTGATGGTCAGGTCGAGTGATGGAGTGATGGTCAGGTCAAGTGATGGCGTGGTGGTCAGATCGAGTGATGGAGTGATGGTCAGATCCAGTGATGGAGTGATGGTCAGGTCGAGTGATGGAGTGGTGGTCATATTGAGTGATGGAGTTATGGTCAGATCCAGTGATGGAGTGATGGTCAGATTGAGTGATGGCGTGGTGGTCAGATCGAGTGATGGAGTGATGGTCAGGTCGAGTGATGGAGTGATGGTCAGATCGAGTGATGGAGTGATGGTCAGGTCGAGTGATGGAGTGATGGTCAGATCGAGTGATGGAGTGATGGTCAGATCGAGTGATGGAGTGATGGTCAGATCGAGTGATGGAGTGATGGTCAGATCGAGTGATGGAGTGATGGTCAGGTCGAGAGAACAATAAAGCAATGTTGTCGAATGGAGGAAACTTCAGTAATAAATCTGCATCATCGTGTTAAACATATTTACATGACAGTGTTCAGTGTTCAGATTCAGCTCTCCTCTCCAACATAAACCCACAGAACAGTTTTACAGCCATGCATGATTATTTTCGAGAAATATGAAGTAAATTTGCAGGTAAAAGCAGAATCAAAGCGAATCTCTGTTAGTTTCATCATCAGTGTGTTTCCAGATTAGACTGTATTCATGTGTCAATATTGATAATGTGAATTATCATAATCTGCACTCAGGAAATCAGAGCACGCTTTGGTTCCTGAAGCCTTTCGTGTTATTAAAGAGCATATTTCCCCTCATTGTCCTCTCTTCTTCTCTGGCCGCAGCGGCAAAATAAAGCTGCATTACTGGCACTTGTCCAAACTCTTCTGCACCGCCCCCCCGACCCACATGCTATAATATAAACTTATCTGCATTCGGCCTGCGAGGACTGAAACCTGACACATGTGGTTTAGTTGACTGTGTTTTCTAGCAGAAGCATAAAGAATGGGAAGAAAGTGGTTTGATGTAAAATCAGGCGAGTCAAAGAAAACTGGCCACAATACCAGTTCAGGCCAAAAAGAGAGACTGTAATACATTCTATTAAAAGTTACTAAATTGGTCAGAAACGATTTTGGTAACGGGTCTGATGTGTGGGTCAGTATGGAGTATGGTGAGTTTCATAAGTGACCTGCAGCTGTGAGCTCAGTCTGCTGGAGAAAATCTGTTTTAGTGATCAGCTGATGTAGCCTTGATCTGACCCACAATGCTATGTTTGTTCTTTATGTGTCGCTCTAAATAGTGTCTACAAGTAAAGAGAGACGACTGAGCCGCTGGTGAGCAGCAGATACCTTTGTTTTCAAGAATGCCTCTTTGATGGGCTTATTAAGTGGTGCTGCTTTTTAGCTGTACAGCAAGCTAAACACAAGGCTATAGGATGATCAAAGAACATGGATGCAGAACTTGATCTTCAGTTCCTTTTCTCCTATTCCTTTATTGTAAAATTGAAAAAATACAAATTAACCCTTTTTAACTCATACGTGTCTCAATAAAGCGTAAATCCTTGAGATGCTCTAGAGTAACTGGGACCATGTTAAAATTAGCCATGATTACAGAAATAAAGAAGAACTAGTTTTAGCAGAGAGCTACAAAGCTGATTACCTGTTTTCATAGATATACATACATACATCATCTAAACCGCTTATCCTTCTGGGTCGCGGTGAGGTGCTGGAGCCTATCCCAGCTGTCATTGGGCAGAAGGCAGGATACACCCTGGACAGGTCGCCAGTCCATCGCAGGGCAGACAGACAGACATACACATTCACACCTAGGGGCAATTTAGCATGTCCAATTAACTTAACTGCATGTTTTTGGACTGTGGGAGGAAACCGGAGTACCCAGAGGAAACCCACACAGACACGGGGAGAACAGGCAAACTCCACACAGAAACGACCCTGGTCGCCCGGGAATCGAACCCAGGCCACTCTCGCTGTGAGGCAACAGCGCTACCCACTGCGCCACCGTGCCACCCCATAGATATGCAAATAAAATGAAATTAAAAAAGAAAAGTTATACACATTGCCCATCTGGTGAAAAGAATGAATTTAAAGGCAAACTGCTTCTACTTGAACATCAGGTGACAACGAGTGAATTATGACGCTCTTTCACCTATGAGAACTGGAAGTGAACATGAATCTACATATGATAAAGTGAATTACTCGCCACTAGAGGGCGCTCTAGGACTGAAAACATCAAGTAAAAACCTTCTATTGCATGAACAAAGTACATTCGTGGTCTACTAAGACCATGACAGCTTCCATACCACATACTACGTTCCTTACGTCAAAGAGTGATGACGCATACACCGATCAGATTTCTACACTCATTGTCCATTTTATCAGCTCCACTTACTATATAGGTGCACTTTGTAGTTCTACAGTTACAGACTGTAGTCCATCTGTTTCTCTGATACTTTATTAGCCCCTTTTTACCCTGTTCTTCAGTGGTCAGGACCCCCATGGACCCTCACAGAGCAGGTCCTATTTGGGTGGTGGATCATTCTCAGCACTGCAGTAACACTGAAGTGGTGGTGTGTTGGTGTGTTAGTGAGGTTTTAAACATTTAGTGTGCTTCTCATTTGCATACAGGGCCTGTTCTCCCGGTAACTGTACTAGTTGGTTTAGTTACAGTCAGTGTTGTGTGTTTATCTGTGCTGGTGTTTGTTGTGTCAGCCTCTGTGTGTGGTTTGTGTCTACAGTCAGGGGAGCTCAGTGAGTCTGGAGTTTCTCTGAGCTGTTTATTTTACACTAAAAAGATCACCTGCAGTTTCCCGCAGTGCTTACTGACCATACGCCTTTTTACCAATAGCTAATATGCTAAATGCTACGAGAGACCATTACACACACACACACACACACACACACACACACACACACACACACAAACTCACACTGTACCTGTAAGTTTCCCTCAGAGTGATGTTGGGTTTGGCTGAACAGGTGAAGAGATCAGTTACATCAGCACAAAACACCTGCATGTCCATCCTGAAAACAATGAGCAAAAACAGTAATAAACAATGTATTTTAAATTTGATTAAAAGCACTATATTATATATTATAATAGATAATTACAGTACTGCTGTATAAATACGATTATGGCATCTTCTAAAATAATACAACAGTATCATACACAGTTACAGCATTACCTATAATAACACTGCAGTATTGTAAACAATTACGCATTGTCTATAGTAATAGAGCAACATTATATACAGTTATTGTGTTGTAATATTACAGTGGTTCTATAATTGTGCTGTATTCTATACAGTTATTGTGTTGTGCATTAAATACAGCAGTTATGATATCTGTAGCTTTAATTTCTGTGTTTTCTGTCTTTCTGTTTTCTAATCAAATCAAACAGAAGTGAAATCAGGTTTTAGGAATAATCCAGTGGAACTGCCTCTGGTTCCTCTGTAAGACTGTAAAACCGTAACACTGCACTCAGTACAGTCGTTCTGACCGACTACAGATCTTCCGTTTGGAGAGCTTTAAAGAGGAAAATGTTCCTGAATAGAAAATGAATATGATCCTGCTCAGTTCTGAGTAGCAGCAGTCAATCCAGAACATCTTCGGTAACGGATGAACAGCTCACTTTTTAGTGGTGCTCATGTTGGAGATCTTGGCCTGGAGGCGGGAACAGTGCACTCTGTGATAAAACTCCTGCATCTGATTGGCTGGATACACTCTGGAAATCATATTTACACACAGTCATTAGAGACGATTAAATACGGACAGGTTTAGCGTGTTTGTAGTGGTTTGTGGTTTAGTTCAGTCCCTGCAGACGATCTACAGAGACGCAGATTATTAATAATCTCTGTTCAGATTCTTTCACTGTAAACAGTTATGATTAGTGTTAGGATTAGGATTTGGTTTTAGAGTTCGATTCTATTGTATTCCACTTAAAGTTCAGTTGTTCATCATTAATCTATTCACTTACATTTAAAGTTTACTTTAATAACATATTTAGAACAATGTTTGTTAAAGGTGAAGTGAGTGTTCACAGGGAAGTCTCTGCCAATATTAGCAAACAATTAACATATTTCTGAAATATTATAGGCTGCAAATTAGTGTTTAAATCTCTGATAAATTGTTATATAACAGTGAAAGTTTATTTATCGGAAAACTAAAATAAATTTGCATTAAAATGCAAGTTTAAGAAAATCTTCCTTTAGTTTCATCAGCGATGTTTCCAGATTAGACTGTATTCATGTGTTTATAATGATAATCTGTATTATCATAATCCACACTCAAGAATTCTGAATAGCGTACATAGAAACATGTTTGCATTAGTTTGTATATCAACACAGAAACAATAAATAAAACATATTTAAAAGTGCTGTTACTAAATCATTTCTGACTCATTTGGTCTTTATATCATATTTACAAAACACTTTCATAATGTCAGTGTTTTGGCCCAACCTGGTATCGTATACAGTAACTGTACTTAATACTGCAGTATTATTATAGATACTAATGGTGTAGTTGACTGTAAAGGGGAAGGAAAAGGGTTGATATGATCTAAAATCAGGCGGGTCAAGCTCTGTTAATAAGAAACCAATATATGAACAAAACTGGACTGAAAACAGAGACTATAAACACAGCCTGTAGGAATAACACTGCTATAGTTTAGTCAGATATTATTTCAGCAGCAGCTCTGATGTATCGGTCAGTGTGGGTTTGATATGAGGTCATTAGAGTAAATTTGAATAAATTAATGTGAATCTCACAGTGACCTGCAGCTGAGAGCTCAGTCTTCTGGAGAAAATCTGTTTTAGTGATCAGCTAATGTAGGAGAGTAAGAGCTTTGTTCAGTTTTACTGGCTCATCGTAATGTGGCAGAACTGACCAGACAAAATAAAAGCCAGATGTTTTAATGTGAAGAGGATCAATTAAACACAACATTGTAAAACAGGCGAGAGTCAAAACCAGAGAGAGGCTAACAAGAATCATTAGCGACATCAAATGTAACGCCGTGAACCAAACAGAGGTCAAAAACTGAGAGGCCAAACATGAGTATAAGTAGACTCAGCCAAAGAGGACAAAGTCAAGAACCATGGTCAGAAAACAAACCAGGTCAAACACAGAGTAACAAGAGAACAGTGAAAGCTCTGTGTGCACTAGAACAACAGCAGCAGTGCTTCACATACGAGTGAACAGAATTAGACCTCAGGTGACTCGGATCTGGAGAGTGGTCTCTGATTGGCTGATGCTCCTTTACATTCTTTACATATTAGAGTTAATGTAGTTCAGTACACAGAGAGCCAGAAGCTAAACCCAGCAGTCATTATACACTAATATTTCTGTCTAATATCTCTACACTCTAATATCTCTACACTCTAATATCTCTACACTCTTTAATATCTCTACATTTTAGTACTTCTACACTGTAAAATCTCCACATGATCTAATATCTTATATATTTGTATATATAATATATAATTGACTCACTTGCTGAGAAAGGGAATCATCATGATGTAAACAGTCAAAAGGCTGCCCACAGTCAGCAGCATTTTGGGAGATTTTGGGAATTGATGGACGACTGACCACAGCTTCATCAGTATCTGTGTACTGGAACCATCCAGGGGACAGTTACCACAGTAAACTCCTCTGTAACTATTCCCAGTAACCGTCTTCAGTAGTCGTCCACTGTAACCATTCTCAGTAGTAGTCCACTGTAACCGTCCTCAGTAGTCGTCCACTGTAACCGTCCTCAGTAGTCGTCCACTGTAACCGTCCTCAGTAACTGTCCACTGTTAAGCATCCTGCTGTCCTGAGTTTTAGGGTTTGTGGAGCTGCTGGAAAATAGTTGGTAACCTTTGCACTGTCCCCAGTGTGTGTGTGCGGTTATCTCTCATTGGGTGGAGCTGGATGAACCATCAACACCCACACATACACACACGCACATGCACACACACACACACACACACACACACACACACACACACACTCACACACACACATACACACACTTGAGATCTATATACTGGTGGGTAGAATAAAATAACAGAAGTTGTTCTTCCTTCAGACCTGAAAACATTTATGACCTTTATATTAATACTGTACACACTTCACCTCACACACAATGCACACTCCATCAGTTTCATCTGTAAACACATTCAACATAAAACAGGACACTGTGGGTCCCAGTACAGCTTTACATTCAGGAACTTTGTCATTGTGAAAGCACTACGAAACTGGAAATGCATCAGTCTCAAATGGTGCATTTATATTTGAGACTGCACATATTTACCAGGAATAAATTTCACAAAAATGAGTTAAGAAATACAAAATATCAGCAATATACAGTATGAAATACTGATAACATCAGGGTGAAAAATGTATCAACAGCAGTAAAAGCAGTAAAGGTGCAGTGTGACAGATAAAGAGTGATTGGGGTGTTAAATGACGTGTGGTTGAAATGCTGCACATAGTCAGGGGCTTGAAATGACAAATGACATGAGAAAATAGTGCATACAGTCCAATAACAGCAACAAATCAATCTCTCAGACGGATATCTGAGTTTATTTGGGCCACAGCTTTCAGGAAGAAGCTGTGTTTCAGTCTGTCTGTGCTGATTGACCTGAGGTCAGTGCTCCTACCTGCTCAGGAGGACCTTAAACAGATGGTGTGATGTCTTTTATGATGTTATAAGTGCTCCTCAAACAGCGAGAGCTGTGAAGAAGTAACAATGATGGCAGCTCTATGACAACAATACAGTCAGCGAGGCTGACTCTCCGTAGTCTCCTCAGACAGTAAAGGCTTTATTTTGCCTTATCCACCTCTGCTGAGGTGTTGTTGGCCCAGGAGAGGTTCTCTGTGTGGATGTGAATGGACTGTGTGTGGTTTCTTATTAGTCCCAAAGTTCACAAGAATTTTCTCGGTCTTTCTGGTGTTTAAGACCAGGTTATTGTTGGTGCATCACAATGTCAGATTCTGCACCTGTTGCTGTTTGTGGCTTCATCGTTGTCTGATATGAGCCCAATGACCGTCATGTTATTTGCAAACTTAAACAGTAGCGTTTTAGAGATGTTGACAGTCGTATGTGAAAAGTGAATAAAGAAGGGGGCTTAGTATACGGCCCTGGGGGACGCCGGTGCTCAGGGTGAGGGTGGAGGATGTGTGCTTGCCCAGTTTGATACTGTGTGGGCATGCTTGCCCCAGTCCATCTGTTAGCCTGGTAGTCAATCTGGTGTTGGTCTAGACCAGCTAGGACAGTGTCTTTGATGTAGGTGAGAACCTGTCGTTAAAGCATTTGGAAATGACAAGGCTGAGAGTGACTGATAGTTATTGGGAGAGAGAAAATATGTGTGAATACCTCTGCTAGCTGGTCAGCAGAGGCCTGGAGTACATAACCTTGTACACCATCAGGCCCTGCTGCTTTCAAGTGTTATCATGATAATAATAATAATAATAATAATAATAATAATCTTAATAATATTAATAATAACAATAATCATAATAATAATAATAACAATAATTACAATAATAATAGTATATAATAATAATAATTATTATTATAATTATAATAATAATATGATAATAATAATAATAATAATAATAATAATAACAATGATAATAATAATAATAATATTAATAATAATTTGTAGTTGTGTTTTGCAGACCTGTTTCCTCCCTTAAGGTTCGCTCTGGTGATGCTGAAGTGTCTCCTGCCCAGAGCACTCATTTGACTTCACTGTTCATGTGTGGTTCCTCGTTTGTGTATGGTCAGATCCTTTCACTAACAGTGACACTGTCCACACAGCAGCTGATGTATGATGTCGTTTCTGTATTTTAATATTTTATACTAATGCTCATTCCTCTCAGTGTTTCTTCCTGTTGCTCTTAGGGAGTTTTTCCTGCCACTGTCGCCATTGGCAACGCTCATGGGGGCTCGGACCTGCTTTATGACAACACCTATTGTAAAAATCACTATATAAATAAACTTTGACTTGACGACAGTACAGATGAAGTGTTCACTTCCTGTCTGTCTGATGGGCAAATATGTTTCATTCTGCGAGTGTAAAACAGTCGGTCATGGAGAAAAACTTTAACTGTCCTGCTGGTCGGCTCGGCACTGTTATCAAGCTTTGTGTGAGATAAGAAACAAAGAAAGTTGGTCAGACTGTCCAGGTTGGTGGGGGTGCAGCCCTGTAAGCGTCCTTTATGTTAGCATAGACGTAATCTAAGGTGTTTCTCCTGGTTGTGCTTTTGCCATGTTGGTCGAATCTGGGAGGAACATTCCTGAACTTCTTCTGGTTGAAGTCACCAGCACTGATGGAAACTCTGTCCGAGTGTGTGTTCTGTTGTTTACTCATGGTGGCATATGTGTATCCAAGCATTAGCTTAGCATTAGCCTGTGGTGTGTGGTTATGTAACCAGTAATTTCACTCATAATATATGAAATTCATATAGCCAGTCACACTGCATGTGTCCTCATGATATATGTCTGCTTTATATGCTGTGCATGTTGCTCATGAATTTAGGGTGGACTGTCACTGTTCTCTGGCTGAAAGAAAGCTAACAAATCAGCTCCTCCTCACAGTCTGTTCAGGTCTAATCTCCTGTTTTCCTCCACAGAAGCCTGGTGAGCTGATAGAAGCTACAGTGGATCATTGTGGCCTTGAGGTTACAGCTCATCTCAAAGAGACCAGATGTGAGAAGACTTGCTGACCAAATATGAATTTCATTCCTGTTCATTAGTTATGCATAAATATTAACACTGTCTTCTTTATTCATATCGTAGTTACACTATATGGACAAAAGTATGGGGACACCTGCACATCACACCTACAGGAGCTTTTATGAATCCCATTCTAAATCCACAGGCATAAATATGGAGTTGGTCCCTCTTTACAGCTCTAACAGCTTCCACTCTTCTGGGAAGCTTCTACAAGATGTTGGAGAGTCTGTGGGAATTTCTGTCCATTCATCCAGAAGAGCATCTGTGGGGTCAGATACTGATGTTGGACGAGAGGATCTGGCTCACAATCTCCATTCTACCAAAGGTGTGTGATGGGGTTGAGGTCAGGGCTCTGTGAGGGTCAGTCAAGTTCTTCCACACCAAACTCACCCAGTCAGGCCTTTATGGAGCTGCTTTGGTCACTGGGGCTCAGTCATGCTGGAACAGGAAAGATTCTTCCCCAAACCGTTCCACAAAGTTGGAAGCATATAATTGTCCAAAATGTGTTGGTGCTGAGTCATTAAGGTGTCCCTTCACTGGAACTAAGGGTTCTAGATCAACCCCTGAAAAACAGCCCCATATCATCATCCCTCCTCCACCAAACTCTACAGCTGGCACAGTGCAGTCAGGCAGGTAACGTTCTCCTGGTATTCGCCAAACCCAGACTCGTCCATCAGACTGACCGATAGAGAAGTGTGATTGGTCACTCCACAGAATACGTTTCCACTGCTCCAGAGTCCAGTGGTGGCACTTTACACCATTACAGCCAATGCTTGTCATTGTGCTTGGTGATGTAAGGTTTTCATGCAGCTGCTCGGCCATGGAAACCCTGCCATGAAGCTCTGGGTGCAGTTTTAGTGCTGATGTTGATGCCAGAGAGATTTGAACTCTGCAGTTATTGATCAGCAAAGTGTTGGAGACGTTTATTTTCTGTGCTCCTCAGAACTCAGAGACCCACTCTGTAACTTTACATGGTCAGACTCTTCGTGGCTGAGTTGCTGTGATTCCTAAACGCTTCCACTTTTCAATAATACACTCACAGCTGGTCATGGGAAATCTAGGAGGGAAGAAACTTTGTGAACTGACTTGTAGTAATGGTGGCATCTATTACAGCACCACGCTGGAACTCAGTGAGCTCATTAGACCCAGTCCTTCATTAATGTGTGTGAAGGCAGGCTGCATGGATTTTATACACCTGTGGCAATGAAACTGAATGAAACACCGGAATTCAGTGATTAAAGGTGTGTCCCAAAACTTTTGTCCATATAATGTATTATGGCAGCTCATTACAGTATAAACCATCTGCTGTGATATGTTGACATGGCATGATTATGTCAATGTTATGCAAAGGGGTTACCAGGAAATCACTTTGCACTTAAAGACAAAAATATATATAAAAAAATGTACATGTGGTTTTCAGTATAATTTGAATGGGCCTGAATGTTGTGCACTGTGTTGAATTAGATTTCTCAGATTCACAGTTTGAATGGTTTCATCACAGAAAGTAAAATATTAGATTTTATACATTATGTAGCGTCTATTGGGTCACAGAGGTAAACGTCCTCTAACAAACTCAGCATGTTGTTCAGTACAGTGAGCGTTTATTACTGTAATCTGATTCCCCTGGGATTTAACTGTCTCTGAGACCTCCCCCTGACTGTGATTGGTCCTAATCTCCTCCTCATTAGTTCTGAGACCTCCCCCTGACTGTGATTGGTCCTAATCTCCTCCTCATTAGTTCTGAGACCTCCCCCTGACTGTGATTGGTCCTAATCTCCTGCTCATTAGTTCTGAGACCTCCCCCTGTGATTGGTCCTAGTCTCCTCTTCTTTAGTTCTGAGACCTCCCCCTGTGATTGGTCCTAATCTCCTGCTCATTAGTTCTGAGACCTCCCCCTGTGATTGGTCCTAGTCTCCTCCTCATTAGTTCTGAGACCTCCCCCTGTGATTGGTCCTAGTCTCCTCCTCATTAGTTCTGGGACCTCCCCCTGACTGTGATTGGTCCTAGTCTCCTCCTCATTAGTTCTGGGACCTCCCCCTGACTGTGATTGGTCCTAGTCTCCTCCTCATTAGTTCTGAGACCTCCCCCTGTGATTGGTCCTAGTCTCCTCCTCATTTGTTCTGAGACCTCCCCCTGTGATTGGTCCTAGTCTCCTCCTCATTAGTTCTGAGACCTCCCCCTGTGATTGGTCCTAGTCTCCTCTTCATTTGTTCTGAGACCTCCCCCTGTGATTGGTCCTAGTCTCCTCCTCATTAGTTCTGAGACCTCCCCCTGTGATTGGTCCTAGTCTCCTCTTCATTTGTTCTGAGACCTCCCCCTGTGATTGGTCCTAGTCTCCTCTTCATTTGTTCTGAGACCTTCCCCTGACTGTGATTGGTCCTAATCTGCTCTTCATTAGTTCTGAGACCTCTCCCTGACTGTGACTGGTCATAACCTCCTCCTTGTTTGTTCTGAGACCTCCCCCTGACTGTGATTGGTCCTAATCACCACCTCCTTTTTTGACTAAGCACTATACAAACATAAATCACTGTTTTTTGTTTTTTTTTTGTTTGTTTGTTTTTTTTGCTAAAACTTTTTACAGGATGTTTGGATTTGAAGTTTATGGCTGGCTTTACTGTGTCATAATAAAAGTCCTCCGTACTGACTGATGTGAGTGAACTCTCAGAGTTTGTGGACTTTGGAGCTGTAAACTGTGTGAATAATTAATCCTGTGCTGCCGTCACACTGAACACCAGAAGAGTTAGTTTATTTCTGCTGTGGCTGCAGCATTTATACACACAGAAAAACAACCACAACAGCAATAACAACACTAACAACAACAACAACAACAACAACAACATCAACTGGAGCTGCAGCACTTCAACAGGTACACCTCTCTCTCTCTGTCTGTCTCTCCCTCTCTCTCTCTCCCCCCTCTCTCTCTCTCTGTCTCTCCCTCTCTCTCTGTCTCTCCCCCCTTCTCTCTGTCTCTCTCTCTTCTCTTTCTCTCTCTTTCTGTCTGTCTCTCTCTCTCTCTGTCTCTTTCTCTCTCTCTGTCTCTCTCTCTCTCTGTCTGTCTGTCTCTCTCCCCCTCTCTCTGTCTGTCTCTCCCCTCTGTCTTTCTCTCTCTAACTGTAATGATATTGTGTTGTTTATACTGTAGATCTGAAGGTGATGGAAGAACAGATGAAGGTGAGTAATGTTTGTTGTGAAAGTAAATTCCTTTCAAACTGATATTTTGTGAGTCAGTATGTCTGTCAGTTTTAGATCAGTTTTATATAATGTTAGTCTCACCTGTTACTTACCTCTCATTGTCTGATGCTTACATCAGCAACGGATGATGACTGTTCACTGTTGTTCACTGTGTAGTTCACAAACACAGGGGTCAGTGTTTGTAACTTTGAGAGTGTTTTCTGTAAGGTGTCATTATGTTTCCTCTAGTTTTGCACACTGTAAACATTTGCGACAGAAAGCTCTGAGAGCTGGTAACACATCTGCAAAGGGACGTTTCTGCTCCACTGAGAGAGTGACGATGAAGATTAAGTTGATCTCAGTTTCATTGACTGTGTTTTAGTGATGAAGAAAAACTGTAATTTTAACCTCTCTGACTCTGCATCTCTCCGTCTTTCTAACAGACCCACCCTTCACCCGGTTCTCCTCTCGGGTCTCCTCTCAGGTCTCCTCTCGGTTCTCCTCCTACAACACCCTGCAGCCCGACTCCTCACCCAGCATCTCCCACTCACTGCAGTAAGTGTGCGTTAGGGCTTTTATTGAAACATTTACGTTTTAATAGCGTAGTAATCATTCGGAAAGCAGCACTCAATTCTGTACCACCTACCAGAACCTGTTAGAACCGGCGGCAGTGACGGCCGCATGTGCTAATCTGACTGTTCTGCTGTGGCAGGAACATCAGCTGACTGCAGTCTCTTACACATATTGTTTAACTGAGTCAGTTTGAATTCCAGTTTATCTACATTAAAGACGCTATTCTTCCAACAAGTTCAGCACAAACTGTTTAAAGGCACATTAGTTCAGACACTCGCTCTTAGCAGTCAGTGGTGAATGTTTCATTCTGAGGTTGTTATGTTGTTTCTGGTCTCACAGACTGGAGCTCTGGATGCTCAGTTACATTGAAATAATAATGTTTATTAATGAATTATGTCAGTTATGGATAAAATGCAGATATTTATGGTGATGTCACCAATCCTGGAAGCAGAGATGAACTAGTAGAAGGCCTTGGTTGAGGTGTTAGATACTGAATTTCATTAACTGACTGCTGCAGCTTTACTTCCTGAGGGCCGGTTGGAGGACCAATGGTCTAAATATCTCTGTAATGGACTAAAACGACACACAAATACAATAAACATAATAATCAGCTTCAGATTCACAAAAACATTTCTAAGAAAAAACTTATGAAGGATCTTCAGACAGTCACTGAGGAGTAAGAACGAGCCTCATTCTCCAACATCTTCCTAAGTGTGTTCTTAAGTGTGTTCTTCTGAAAGGTCCTAAGAAAAAGTCTACGTCGGCTTCATGACGTGTTCTTAAAGCACAGAACTGTTTCACCTTTGTGCTCTTGACTGTGTGTAGATTCTGTTCTTACCTGAGAACAAATCCCAAATTAGAGAACACTGGTGAGTCAGAGTCTTCATCAAAACTGCATAAGTGGGTTTAAGGAAATTTCTTCTTCAGATCGGTTGGTCTCAGCATTATGAAACACATTTCTCAGAAAAAAATTAAGAAGTTCTCAAATATTCTCTCGTAAATATTTTCATTAACCAGTTTAATTTATTCACATCTGCACCTGAGAACAGCAGTTTAGCCCCACCATTCAGTCTACAGCAGTTTAGCTTCACCATTCAGTCTACAGCAGTTTAGCTTCACCATTCAGTGTACAGCAGTTTAGCTTCACCATTCAGCTACAGCAGTTTAGCTTCACCCATTCAGTCTACAGCAGTTTAGCTTCACCATTCAGTCTACAGCAGTTTAGGTCCCACCATTCAGTCTAAAGCAGTTTAGCTTCACCATTCAGTCTAAAGCAGTTTAGCTTCACCATTCAGTCTACAGCAGTTTAGCTTCACCATTCAGCTACAGCAGTTTAGCCCCACCATTCAGCTACAGCAGTTTAGCTTC